CCCAGATGATAGGTGAGGGTGATTGTGGAGCAATTGGTGGAATGAAGATTGGCAGGGGAAACCAAAGTACTCAGATAAAACCTGCCCCAGCGCCACTTTGTCCACCACAAATCCCACTTGACCAGACCCCGGATCGAACCCGGGGCTCCGTGGTGGGAATCCAGCGACTAACCACTTGAGCTATGGCACGGCCCTAGACTCACCGTTACTACCAACGGTTCTCCATGTTAGGTGAAAATAAAATTGTCCCTATGTTTAATTAATTAATGACAAAAACATTGAAGAATATTGTGGAGCAGAGGTATAGCTCCAAAATTCTTAACCTTTGCATTAGATGCAGATGAGTGGTTAGCTTCACGCTTTGACTCAAGGGAAAGAGCCGCGACGCGCTGAACAGACTCCTCGAAGTTTGCTTCTTTGACAGTTGACTCTCTTTCAGCCTGTGACTGTGGATGGAGAGGACGACAGCAATTCCGTGGAGCCATCTCTGACAGCAGAAGGAAGATCTTCAAGGATTCTATTCCCAGACGATCCGTTCCTTTCCGATTTCTTCGAAAAATAGTCTTTACGAGTTACTACTCAAAAACACGGTATCAAACGCTGTGTCGAGGACAGCGTTATTTAATACGAGACTGCAAACTGTACTGCGAGAGGACTCCACACTACACCCCAACATACACGCTTCCTCTGTCTTTCTGTTTTCCAACTGAAGCAGATGACGAACTAACAACGGGACGAGTGATAGTTTTCTCTTGGCATTTTATAGAAGAGGTGTGATTAGTTTTCAGCATGCCAATGTGCCCCTCCAAATTACCCCCAGTCCACTCTCTCCCACCTCCCTTTGTTTTTTAATTGTGCCCCGGATTTTCTTAAAAAAATATGGTCTTCCTCTCTATAAAACCATGATAGAGGCTTCCGTGCTACGGAGGGACGGACCCTGAGGGACCTGTACTCAAGTAGTACAAATATGAGCTGCAGATGGCTCACCAACCATAGGCAATGTTCCTGAGCTGCCATCTTCTGAATAATTATGTAACTTCTTGTGTTTAATATTGCCGGCTGCCTTTTGTGCGACCCACAATGTATAAACATGGAAAGGTGTACGCCAGCGGAGCACAAACGTTTTCCAGATACGATCTTTGTTGGAAGTGCGAAATCATAACATAAAGATAGCTAACAGATTTTTTCAAAATATGGCAAGTTAAAATATTTGGGAAAGACAGCATCAAATATTGTTTTTTTTTTCATGAGGAAATTAAATGCAGATTAACATCGGGTAATGCTTGCTACTTTTCAATTCAGAACCTATTGCTTTCTCATCTGCTGTCTAAAGAAAGGTAAAAGTTACAAAACTATTACAAAGACAAAACAACTCCGTCCAGTGTGACTATTTAAGTTTTACCACTTGAAAACTCAGTAACCTTACATGTTTCGATCCTTACGGATCATCCTCAGAGGGAACAGCAATACTTATTTGGAAACTACTATCATAATAGGTGTTCTGAGTGCCAAATTACATACACACACAATGCCTAGAATACACAATATACATAAGATCCTATTTTTCACAATCACAGCAGCTTTCCTGGTTAAAGTTTTTAAATTTTTAAAACTTTGTTGTTTGAGTTAAAATTTATAAACCAAGTAGGTTCGGGTCACTTCTCCTATCGTCTTTCTTGAAGGGGCTGAACTTGTGCCGCCTGTCTATCTTGAGAAGGAGATTCTTACACAAGTTCAGCACGCTCTGGCATCATTGCACAAGAATCGATAATGAGGGGGTGGTTTCCATTGAAATAAAAACAGACGAAGATCAAGTAACTGACGTTGATCGATATTAACGAGAATGTCTCTTGATTAACGTGAGTTTACGAGACGTTGTGGCCATTAAATACTTACCCAAAGTGCCCATAGTCATTAAATTTTGTGTCAGTTGCAAATTCAATATATTTTAAAGATTACAAGAACCGTGAAATCTACTAGAGTAAGTAGCATATATCTGTAATATTACGTAAAAGATTTTCGCCAGTTTTCAGGTATTTTTATATGTAGTAAATACTGTAAGCTTATGTGAATGCATGTATAGTGGTGAGATTTGTCATTGCCGATTTTAGAAACTACGGTGAACTAGGAAGACATATATTATTCGATAAGTGGCCTTATGTAAATGCGAGTGGTTATATAAAATTACATTACACGCAAAAAAAAAAAAAGAATGAAAATTTGTAATGAAACGAACAGTATATTTTGATGAATGTATGGCTGGACTGCAATTTCAGAAACACGTGAGAGATGTTGTCTGTCATGGAGGTTATAGTACACCGGCCATATTTTGAAGGCGGAATTGCAACGTTCACATTTAAATCCTTCAGCTCATTCACATAGCGAGGAAATATGTACCGTTTCTTTCGTGTATTGTATTTAGGTTACATTCGTTGTAGATGCATGTTCTTGTTTCTTACGCAACTTCTTGAAGTAGAGATGTCTCGGTAATTATAAATGATTCATGTTGAAATTACTGAGAAGTGATTGCTCTCTCCACCACATCCCGCTAACTTTGCTGGAGTCGTATGCATCACTGCGCGCGAATGGTAAATAAGTATTTCGTTCCTTTCATTGTTTTTGTTCCCTACTGCACCGTTACAGAGTGGCCCCAGACGCATTAGAAACAGAAGAGCATCGCAGAGAGATTTTAAGCGTTCACCCATAACATAATAAGCATTGAGGAACAAAAGAATTGACCTCTTGAAGGTTCAATTAGAAACTGAAAATAGTGCAGTACAGTATAACTCTCAGAAACTGTGTCGTAATACATGGTGTGTCAAAAAAATATAAGTTATAGCAAGTGTCACGTAACTTCGAACAAGGCCAAGAGTAACCTTGAATGGGCAGAAGAAAAATTTCAAACAAGTGGGTGGGTTCGAGGGTGTGAGAAATGTCACTAATCACACCCTCGAACCCACCCCCTTGTTTGAAATTTTTCTTCTGCGCATTCAAGGTTACTCTTGGCCTTGTTCGAAGTTACGTGACACTTGGTATATCAGTTGAGTAGAAATATTGACACCATCTTAACAATGCAGTGGGTGAAAGATATACTTTCTGTTATGATTGTGTTTATCTTAGAAATTATTAGAGTGAAGATAGTCATTGTCACTTTCTACCACCTAATTACATTGAGATATAGTTAAAGGTAAAGTTGTTCCTGGCCGGTCACAGTAGCCGAGCGGTCTAAGGCATGTACTGTCTTCGCTCGCTTGGAAACCGGGATCGTGGGTTCGAATCCCACTCAGGGCATGGATGTTTAGTTTGTGCGTGTGCGTTTTTCTGTGTTTGTGTACAGGTAGACGCCTTGCGACGAGCTGATTACCCGCCCAAGGAGTCCTACCGAATGTGTTAGATCTAGAAAAACCGAAGTGAACGGAGAAGTTCATGGAGGTAGGCCTAGGCCCACTGGGGCTGTAGTGTCAATGGGGAAAAAAAGTTGTCCCTGTGCTTATATAATTAAGCACTACGCCATGAAGGCGTAGGGGGGGAATCGATGAATAGAGCCATATTTTCCTGACCTCGGCACTAGCTGGAGGTGAGTGGTCAGCTTTACGCCCCTGCCGCTTTGCCCCCAGAGAAAGAGACCCCCGTACTCATTGGGTAGGAGGTTGGGTGGGTCCCAGAGCTGGTTTGGACGACACGGAGAAGTGAAAATACTCGTCCCCTCCGAGAATCGAACTCCGACATCTTGATCGTCCAGTTCGTAGCCAGTTGCTATATCGACTAAATAATAATAATTTGGGCCGCGCCATAGTTCAAGCGGTTAGTCGCTGTCTTCCCACCGCGGCGGCCCGAGTTCGATCCCGGGTCTGTTCAAGTGGGGTGTGTGGTGGACAAAGTGGCGCTGGGGTAGGTTTTCTCCGAGTACTTCGGTTTCCCCTGCCAACCTTCATTCCACCAATTGCTCCACAATCACCCTCACCTATCATCTGGGACTGGTACAATAGGCCAGAAGTGACCGCAGTACAAGGGACTTAGTCCCACCCCACTAGCAATAGAAAAAATACATAGGAGGACATAAACACAGAACGCAGACAAACATTCATGCCTGGAGTTGAATGCGAACCCAAGATTCCAGTGCCTGAGCGAGCGAAGACATTTCATTTATATTGTGCGGCCACTGTGATCAGCCAATACGAGTATATATCACAGTAAAAGGAACAAGTTGTTACTGGGCTCTGATCAATAGTGTATGCATTTAATTAGACCAAAATAAAAGTTAAAACATATTTGAACACATCTGTGATACACAGTACATACATCTGTGATACACACTCCAGCACAGATAATACATTATTTAATAAGACATATAACATTTGTAACAGGCATATTGTCACAAAGGCACAGGGAGGATGTCATATTTCATGATCCTGGGATGTCATCCATGTAGACATGGAGCCCTAACGAACTTTTTGTGTTTGTAGCTTTTCGTTTATTCTTTCTAACTTGAATGCTGAAACAGAAACAATACGAGTAATTACAATTAGACTGTAATTTTAATTCCACTTAAATTGTTACCAACATAAAACATAATAAAACTCTGATGAATATTTCAACTTTGTAAATAAAAACCATTCTGTAAAGATGATTACATAACAGTAACCCTTCGTAAGTTCTAGATCTATATAAGTGACTCCAAAAACGTTTGTTACTTGTTAAGTCTACTCTCTTGACTGATGTTATTATGTAACATATACATTCTCTCATTTCTTTAACATTAGCTTTTAGGTAACACTATTGAGGTTAAGTAGGTATTGGACTTAATTTTGCCAACTTTAATGGTTCTTTTTTCTGTATAACTCTCTTATATTCTGAGTATGCGAAAAACAACTTCACCCATCTTTTGTTTTCTTGCCAGGTTTGACGTAATTTTAAACTGCACATAAATTAAAAAATATGTTAACGCGGACAGACAGGCCGTGTATTATAATTGACGTTATTTCTCAGAAACCACTAAACCTGTTAGTTGATGCTTCGTACATATGCCGTGGATATGGCCATTGTGGGGGGGGGGGGATTTTGTCATAAGTAAACTGAGCAAATCTTGCGAAGGAAGGTTCTGTCCTTCAGACATTCCGTAACTTCACCTCCGCAATCTTTTCACGTGTTTTGGTGAAGTCTGGTGGCACTTTGCCCTGAGTGTTGCTTTGTGAATTTAAATTTTGTTTGTAATGATAAATTATAATCCTTACATTGCACGAACGGATATAATAAAATTGTGTCCGTAGTAGTAGTAGTTGTCATAATAATCATCATCACCACAACAACAACAACAACAACAACAACAACAGCAACGTCATCAGGATAAGAACGTTTCGATCTGTTCCGTTCGTTCTGTACGTTGATCCTATCAGCGCAACTCTTCTCGCTCAATGGATGTTGTTCCTCTAGGTGTAAAGTCCATTAAATGTTTTAAAATGCAGAGTAAAAATTAAAGAGATAACCAAGAAACAAGATAAATTTTAAATATTAATCTCGTTGACTATTCTCCAAAATTTCCTTGCTGAATAAGAATACCTACAACTCAACTCATTACGTAATTAAATAAATTGTTCCCTTTTTATATTCGTTGACTGGCAACTGAATTCTAAATATTTCATATAACATGAATATTAGTTTGTCGTTGTGCCTGTCTCTTTCAGAAGGGGTGCACTTATTTAATATCGATAGAAGTTAAATATAGGCATTGAAAACCTCCTCCCGCTTTCGAGCTATTGGGAGCATAAAGAAACAGCGATCTCATTTTTTAAAGTAAGCTAGGAAAAGGGTAAATGTACACCTGTAAGAGGCCGTGGAGGCCCATAGGGTCGTGAGATGTCGAGGCTTCCACGTTTTCTAGACAATCGGCTCACAGATGGCGGTGACGTCAGCCTTACACGCTGGCCGACCTTTAACCTTAGGGGTATTCCTGGTATTCATTTCTGTTAGTGGCTGAGTCCAACTCAGGGCCATAGGGCGGCTGGAAGGATTAGGTCAATTGGAAAATCCAATGACATCGGGAATCGAACCCGCGACCTCCCGCTAACATATCACAAAAGAAACACTAATACTGTCAGGATTTGGTATTGAAATAAGAGGTATATTTTCTTCTTGAGGCTTCAGCTGATATCCCTGGAGTAGCATGCTTGTTAACTTTTGGAAAGGAAGACAGGGTAGTTCTTGCGTCCTGTCTTGGCCTGGATCGGGAGCTAAAGCTGGAACCGAGCTCTTGTACGTGGAATGGAATATGAAGGGATGAATTCCAGCCGCCCCTTACCGCGTCCGGGGATAGTGCAGCAAGAAGTATCTTAAAATTTGTTTCTGGTGGTACACAATTTGCATGAGCTCACTTACCGACGAGCTTCGAGTTCAGGAGTTCTCCTAGCACGTAGAAACTGAAAATGGAGCCCGTGCAGAAGATGAAGAAGAGCATCCTAAGTGCCCAGTTGTCCAGCACGCGGTAGACGGGGTAGATCCATGTGCCATCGGACAGGAAAGCATTTAGGCACCTGCACATTTCATGTCTTACCTTTTAAAATATATTAATATTTTATTGAACTTTTAAAAGAATGATTCTGGAGAGAACAGACCACTAGGAAGGACTAGATGTAGATGATAGGATAATACTAAAATGGATCTTAGAGAAATAGGATTAAGGGTTATGGACTGGATTCATCTGGCTCAGGATAAAATATTAGGAAATTCTTGAGTAGGTGAGCATATTGTCACGTGTAGAAGGGTACACGTGACGAAATGACGGGTTCTATTTCGGATGATTGGATTTATTAACGACTTGGTTACACGCACTCTCTTAATTACACCCAGACACAGCGTTATCGCCGATCTACATAACCTCATAATCCACTGTTGCATGCACCGTCGCACACATAAAGTCTTCTAAATCACATCTGACATCCACACAGGCGACCTTCTGTATCTCTGGTTCCACTTCGCTTGCTTCCGCCACTCTCAACTACTCCAATACTGACGAGTTCATAGAGTTAGTGTAACATAACAGATTCTTTCACTTTAATACAGAACTACTCCTTACAGAAAATAGTTATGAGTCGTAAAAGGCATGAAAATTGTTCAAGATCAGGCCTGGTAGTTATTAGAGACGCTGAAACTAAAGGTTCTGTTACTGGAGTACAGATAAATTCCTAGCAACATGATGACCGTATATCTGACCATTGCATATTAACAGTTGGAAATCGTAAGTCAGTGAGTTGAAGCAATGACTGAATGTTTACATGGAATTTTGATTGTTAACCTTTTTCCTTTGAAATTTTGGTTGATTTTAAACTGGTTACAAAAACAAGGATAATGCATTCATCGCCACTGTAACAGATTACTGGGCGTAACCTGCATAAAATGAAAATTAACACTGCAAGTTCTCGTGAAGCTTCGCTGCTTGAATATGGTTCCAACCGCCACAAAACTTTTCAAACAATATAGACAACAACAACAGCAACAACAAATCAAATAACTAACTTACTTCATAGAGGTCAGCTTTTCCTGAGAAACCGCCAGTTGTGCAGCTACTCAAGAAGTTTCCAAAATTTTACGGAGCCCGAAACTTCATCAGCGTGTTCACAAGAGCCCTTAACTGGTCCTCTATCATGAGCCAGATGAATCCAGTCCATACCAACTCATCATCTCTCTCTAAGATCCATTTTAACATTATCCTGCCAAACACGTCTTGGTCTACCTAATGGTCTCTTTTCGTCATGCTTTCCCACCAATATCCTATACGCATTCCTCTTCTGAATTTGTGCTACATACCTTGCCCATTTCATCCTCCTTGACTTGGTCATTCTAATTATACTTAGAGAAGAGTGAAAGTTATGAAGCTCCTCATTACGTAGTTTTCTCCAAACTCCCGTAACTTCAGGGGAACGCGGTAGCGTAGTTGGTTGAGGCACTATGCTACAAGCCGGAAGATCGCGGGTTCAAATCCCGATGAGGTCATTGTATTTTTATTAAGTGACCTAATCCTACCGGCCCCACTATGGTCCTGGGGTCGATTCACCCTCTAACAGAAATGAGTACCAGGAATATTCTTGGGGGTAAAGTGCTGCTGGCGTGTACGGCTGAAAACCTTGCCGCCATCTGTCTAGACTGCTGATGGTCTAGAAAATGTGGAACCCTCAACGTCTCACAACCCTATGGGACGCCACCGCCTGTTACAGGGATAGCTTTACTTTTTTTACTTTTATTATTGTATTCGTTTCTTCGCTCTGTTGATGTAGAATGGATGCTAACAATTCCCAGTCATTTTAAGATCTAAAAGTTTGTGACGATGGTATATTGCTACAAGTATTATGTCTTTGGACATTATCCATCGTCTTGCCTATTTTCTAAAAACCGTCCTGTTTCTTTATAAAACAAACGTTGGGTCCAATAGATATCAATTGGACCCAACTGAGTAGGTTTTACCTGAGGACGGAGACAGAATCTAGTCTCCGAAACGTTGTGTTTTTAAAAAGAAACAGGATGGTTTTTAGAAAATAGACAAGACGATAGACAATGTCCAGAGACATAATACTTGTACACATAATTTATGCTTTAAAATCGAATCAAAGAAGGAACGCATTCATCTCACCGAGAAATACGTGTATAAGCCTATGCATTACGTGTTTATACTGTACAACGAGTGGGGATAAATCAGTCACTCTAACGTCTAGGCTATGGGAGTGGATGAGCGAGGAGTCTGACTTCGATTCACGGTAAGGGCAAGAGATAAGGTACAGACCGGCTGTTTCTCCGGGCGTAAAGCGGCAGGAGAGCGAAGCTGATTACTCACTTCCATCTAGTTCTGAGATGAAGAACGACTTAACTATACTTTCAGTTTTCCGTCCGTCTTCACACATCTACTATCATCCGGGACTGGAACGTGGAGGAGTCGGTATAGTGACTAGATACGGGCTGGACGGCCTAGAGGTTGGAGTTCGATTCCCGGTAGGGACAAGGTTTTACTCTTTTCCCCGTCGTCCAAACCGGTTCTGGGGCCTGCCCAGCCTCCTATCCAGTGAGTAGCGGGGGCTCTTTCTCCGGGGATTAGTCGGCCGGGGTGTGAAGCTGAATATTCCGCTCCAACTAATGCCAAGGCCATGAATAAGTGAATCTCTACATCCACTCTCCCATAAGTCTTCATGGCAGTGCTTGATGCGTTAAGCAGAGGAACAACTTTACCTTTGCCATCGTTACATAATGAAGAACACAGTGATTGTGTGTGATACTCACAGGCTGTCATATACCGTGAGGTAGAGCGCCAGGGCTGCCAACCCGAGACTTCGCTTGGAGTAGCGATGACGTGTTATGCGCATCTCCACCACAAGGGCCACGCTGATGACGGTGTGCGTTGAGTGGTTCGTCCATGATGGCATGATGGCGTCCAGGGCACTCGGAAACACCAACTCGCGGTCGATCATGTAGAGACCCCAGAACATGGACGAAACAAACTGCGAACACCGTGTTCATTTCTGGTTTATTTTACGACGTAGTCAGTAGGTCATGTGGGATTTGTGGTTGAAAGAGTGGCGTTGGGACAGTTTTTCTCCGAGTACTTCGGTTTCCCCTGCCAATCTTCATTGCACCAATTGCTCCACAATCACCATCACCTATCATCTGGGGTTGGTACAGTAGGCCAGAAGTGGCCGCAGTACCAAGTGGACTCAGTCTCACCCCACTAAGAATACGTGAAAGATACGTGAAGATATAGAGTTGGATTATGGGGTAGTTGGTGAATAATGAACTAGAATGGATTTAGAAGGAAATGATCGAGGGCTAATTGGGGTACCATCCGATAATTTACTGGAAGGCTCTGATGAAAGCTACAGGACACCTCAGGATAGCAGGTGCACTGAGAGAGATTTGAAGCGATCACTTCTCGAATACACATGTAGAAAGCTGACGCTACACCAGAGTCCTCGATCGATGCAGCGCTATATATAGTAGATACATAATTATATACCAGTCGTATAGAAAACGATATTGGAAATATTCCGCTATAAGCCTGGAGGGACTGAAAGAAATCTGTATAGAGCTCGACAGATCACTGGATTTGTACCCAAACTGGGAGAGCCGTGGGTCACCACTGTAAGCTGAAGAAGATCGTAGATGGACAAATTTGCTTGTTTCAGTACCTAAGGATTTTCAAAAACTTATTCTTTGACGCTATTACTGAAAATTAGACTTATAATCTAAGCTTAAAATGCCTCTGAATTAAATAAGTTTGGACTCTTTTTGGCCTTTGGTCTTCTGGTTACAGCACCGTGTAGTCTGGTGCTGGCTACCAATGTTTTGAAGGACGCTACTGCTTCAAAATGACTGTCTAAAGGTTTTTCGTCGTGAAAATCTCATACAGGTTCTGAAATTTAACGGCGTCTTCAACGGCATCAAAATGGAGGTCCCGAATTTCAATGCATAACTTGAAATGTTTTGTTTTATCTTATCTGAGTTTTGTGATGTTAGGTGGAGCTTCGCATTGCGTCTTTACGTTAGAGCCGTACACAGCCTCCTACAAAAAACAAAAATCCGTGACCTGTAGTCCGTAAGCGAACTATACTGACCGAGCGACCGCCACTTGTCGGCGAAGTTAGTGCCAACTTTTGCGGGTAGAGAGTGTCACGTTGTCAGCGCAACGGATCTCCACGGCCATTAATCTCGGTTTTCTAGACCGGAGCCTCTATTTCCTTGAAATAACCCCTCAATTATCCTCACGAGGTTGAGTGGACCCCGTTCCATACCACAACTTCTCAGAAAATCTGGTAGCGCCGGGAGTCGAATCTGAGACCTCTGGATCTGTAGCCAGGAACTCTGACCACTAGACCAGAATCACGAAGCCTCCTATCCATTGGATAAGAATGCTCTTTCCTCGGGGGTAAAGCGGTGGGGGCGTGAAGCTGACCACTCGCGTAAGTCTGCTACCTCGGTTAGGAACAGAGGGCTATTCCTCGACTTTCTATACATCTTCACGGAGTGGTGCTTAATTAATTAAGCAGAGGAAAAAACTCTACCTTCAATTTTACTATTACACTTTTGGGGATTTTCGGTAGTTTCATTCAGTTGGCTAACTTAATGTACAGCGTTCTTCAAGGGAGAGATTTTATGTGTTAGACATCGCTACTATATAACTATGTGATTGTTGGGTCTTGAATAATCCGGGTCGGTGTCAGAAAGAGGGGTCAGGTCGACTTTAAAAATGCTTGAGGTCATCTCGCTGTAGATTAACACGACACATCGCGATGTGGAGAAGATAGGTCTGATATCACTGACGCAATGAGACCTTCGCTTTCTTTAGGGGATCGAAGTCCGTCGACAGTGCTGGTACGCTACAGCTCTGTTGTGATGAGGTCATGTCATCATCCCCTTTTGATATCGGAGATCCGGGAAGAAATAGAAATAAACTCTATGCATCTCTGAGACGAGTTTCGAAATAGCGCATTCGTCTCCGGTCAACGGTTCGTCTTGCTTTTCTTAGTGACCCGAAATCCTTAACCCGAGTTACTCAAATGTTCTGGTGTGGATGGATGGATGCATGAATGGACTAAAAACTCGGTGGCCTGTAGTCCGCAAGCGAATTTTACCGACCGAGAGACCGCCGCTTTTCGGCGAAGTTAGTGCCAAGTTTTGAGGATAGAGGGTGTCACGTTGTCAGTGCAACGGTTCCCCACGGCCGTTAATCTCGGTTTTCTAGACCGGAGCCGCAATTTCCTTGAAATAGCTCCTCAGTTATCCTCATGAGTCTGAGTGGATCCCGTTACAGACTCACTACTCCTCAGAAAATCTTGTAGCACCGGGAATCGAACCCGGGACCTCTTGATCTGTAGCCAGGAACTCTGACCACTTGACCACTAGGCCACAGAGGCGGTCAACATCGAACAAATAAAGGCGCGCATGCACAATACATATAATATTTCTGTCGTAAATAATATTTTGTAGTGAAGAAAGTCGTCTTCTGGGTTTAGGCGCCGTGTATTTTTCGTTTTGGCCGACGTTTCGGAGGAACGTATCGCCTCCATCTTCAGAGCAGGTGAATGGCTTGGAACCCAGAAGACGACTTTCTTCATAGTCATCGCCGTGAAAACCTCAAAACTTACAAAATATTTTGTAGTGTTTCGCAATGGATAGATATTGCAGCGACAAATCTATGTAGCAGATTCGTAAACTAAATTGTCTTGATGACAAAAGTCCCAAGAAAGAATCCAACCAAACCGAAATTTGAATCGGTCTGTCAGAAATGTAGTTCCGTGTGTGTCACTGAATTTTTGTTTTTTGCAAGACAGACCTACACAGGGGAGACATCGTAAATTGTTTATAAGTTTATGATGATGGAAAGTGCCAGTCAATATGGCTAACAATTTAAGAGAAAGGCATTAGACACTGGTAGAGTGTACGCTGTAAGACTACCTCTGGAATATGTATAGAGAGTGTCCAGATATTCGTGCCCAAGGATTCAGCGCATTTTCATTTTGAAGAGCGAGAAAAAATATCCCTTGATAAAATTTCGATACTTTGCACAATAATTGCGGAACTGCGACTGCAGTTGAATGCAATGTGGAAACATAATATAAGTTTCCCACAGCCTCATTTTATATGAATATTATGCGTCGGGCAAAGGTTTATCAAGGGACATTTTAGTTTCATTGTTCAGCAAAGAATAACGTAGAATTAGAATTTATATAACTAAACTTTTGTCCGTTGTTCTGTATGGGTGTGAAACTTGGTATCTGACATTAAGAGAGGAACATAATCTGAGGGTGTTTGAGAACAGGGTGTTGAGAAGAATATTTGGGCCGAAGAGAGATGAAGTGACGGGAGGTTGCAGAAAACTACATAATGAGGACTTTCATATCTTGCACTCTTCTCCAAATATAATTAGAATGATGAAGTTAAGGAGGATGAGATGCGCAGGTCATGTAGCACGAATGGGGGAGACGAGGAATGCGTATAGGATATTGGTGGGAAAGCCAGGAGGAAAGAGATCACTGGGAAGACCAAGGTGTAGGTGGGTGGACAATATTAAAATGGATGGTATGGATTGGATTGATCTGACTCAGGATAGGGACCAGCGGAGGGTTCTTGTGAACACGGCAATGAACCTTCGAGTTCCATAAAATGCTGGGAAATTCTTGAGTAGCCGCACAATTAGCGACGTCTCAAGAATGCTTCAGCTCCATGGCGTTAGTTCAAGAAACAGCGTGGTGGGTGGAATCCATAGATGCAAATTTTCTGGCACCTGTAGGCTCTACACTGCATGTTGCTTATTGAAAGCTCCTTCAAATACAAAGTACGTCTCAGCAATAAATGTTACATTATGTCTCTTAAATGAAAGTAAGACTTAGTGTTGCAGAAGCAGCGTAAACTTTTGGTAAAGCGTTTCCTTAGAGGGTGGGACACTCAGCTGTCCCCTACGCACGCATTACCCTTACCTTATTATTTATATAACTCAAAATAACGGTTAGAACATGGAGTCAGTACCACACCTGTTTACAGTAAAGTTAATCCTGAAGATGTGACAACGAACTGTATCTTATTCAAACATAAGAATAGTAGAACAGATAGGCACCGCTCTGTTGTTTCGCGAAAGCGTATAACAATGTGAAAGAAGCTAGCTGCAACGCGGCTTCACACTTACCAATGTACCTGGGAAAAGGAGTGACGTGAAGATGAAATCCTTGACTTGGCGGACCCAGTCTTGTACGGACTCAGTCCTCTTCGTTAGTCGCAGGAAGTCTTCAGTCATGCAGATGAAGAAGTACACTATTTGGACTGCCTGAAATTATGACGTGGCTTAAAGTGAATTAACATGCACAGTTCCGCGAATGATTGCTTCCGTGATTTTATTCAGCCCCACCTAGAGAACATTGGGATATAGATCTAATTTATATTAAGATCGATAGGGCAGTTGCTCCTTATTTATTAATTTCACTAGAATAAAGCCAGTTGAAATTTCAATGGAAAATTGTTAAAAACAAAGTTTTCCAAGAACACTTAACCTCAGTAACTTGAAGACGTGTGAAGACAATTGCACTTATGCTAAGATATTGGACTTGAAAGAATAACAGCATGCACTAAGAGTTGTTGCTACCTAGAGGATTATATTTTCAGCAAATGTGGACATTGTAATACCGATACAATAATAACCTCCACTTCTGCCTCCTTCTGCTTATATTCGTAACTACTTGATCGCACACATAACGACAGAATAACGACATAAGATGAAGTTTTAGCCTTTTTCTCGTATATGGATATTCAGCTTCACACTTACAGCTATGAGGCACTCGGTAGCGTAGATGGTTGAGGTACTATGCGATAAGCCGGAAGTTGCGGGTTCGATTTCCGAGGAGGTCATTGGAGTTTCCATTTCGCTTCATCCTTCTAACCGCACTTATTGACCTGGAATCGGCTGAGCATCTGACAGAAATGCGTACCAGGAATCTACAAGGGTCTAAACGGCGGCCGGGGCGTGAGGCTGACAAATTCATAGCAATCTGTGAGCCGATTGTTCTAGAAAATGTTGAAGCCTCGAAGCCTCACAGCCCTATGGGCCTCCACGGCCTGTTGCGGGGCTGGATTTACATTTTTTAACTCGTAAGTTATTTTAAAAAAGCGCAGTGAAAGAAATTGTCGTTTGCTCGTGTGTACTGGTTTTCTGATGGCTTATTTTTTTCTGATCTGATCATTCTGACAATAGTAACTGAACAATTCAGATTATGGTGTTCGTTTTTGTGCAATTTTATCTTTCTATTATATAAATAGCCAAAACGGGACTGCCCCTACTGAAATTTCCTCTTATGAGTACTCACTATTTGAACTCGCTTTAACTCTTTAAAGTAAAAGTCAGGTTAAGACCGACGATCAGTCGGCCAGTAAGTCTTGGTGTCAAGCACCATCTGGGGCTCCAAACCAGATTTACAGTTGCGGTTTTGTTGATATGAGGCGCCGTCTCTGACTAGGGGACGGGTCTGTCATTTATCACTTTTACAGTCAGTAGTAAATGTGATCTCTGTTTACTATTCTACATGTCGGCATTTAATCAGGAGCATCATTACTTGTACTCTTCTCCAAGTATAATTAGAATTATCGAGTCAAGGAGGATGAGATGGACAGGGCATGTAGCACGAATTGGTACGAAGAGGAATGCATGTAGGATATTGGCGGGAAAACTAGATGGAAAGAGACAACTCGGAAGACCAAGGAGTAGGTGGGTGGACAGTATTAAAATGGATCTTAGAGAGATAGGGTGGAATGGTATGGGTTGGATTGATCTGGCTCAGGATAGGGACCAGTGGAGGGCTCCTGGGAACACGGTAATGAACCTTCAGGTTCCACAACATGCTCGGAAGTTCTTAAGTAGCTGCAGAATTGGCGGCTTCTCAAGAAGAGCTCAGCTCCGTGAGTGATGATAAGTGACATGTCGCCATTCTACACGGTCAGTCAATCGTCAAGAATCCGGTTCCTTGTGGATACTTACTGTTTACAATTTTATATGTAACTCTAATGTATAGGTATGTAAAATATATACAAGGCCTCTGTTAGTCGAGGCTTGGCACAGCAGATCATGCCTTAACTCATGTAGCTCATGTTACAACGGCTGACTAGTCACTTGAACGGTCGTACTCTTAGTTCTCCATGTCGGTCTTCACTTTTTCCCATGTCGTTAAAATTTGGATAATAAATATACGGTACTTGGAAAGCCCCAAACAGTGCCGAGGCCAAGAAAATGTGGATCTATACATCCACTCCCCCATACGCCTTGATGGTGTAGTCCTTAAATAGTTAAGCACGGGGACAATTTTACCTTTACTTGGAAAGCCATGTCGAACACGCTGACCGGTGTGCACCTTGGAAATTTACCAGTGGTGCGGAGAATCTTGTTTTGCAAGCGCTGCAATTTTCAAAAGGTGGGCATCTGCCGCAAATTTCTATTAAAGACTGTATTTCTTCTAAATAATACATAAAAGTTAAGTTCGTGCTTCCCAGGAACCACATTACATCTCCACTATATATATATTTTTTTTTCCTTGGCACTACAGCCCCAGTGGGCCTAGGCCTACCTCCATGAAATTCTCCATTCACTTCGGTTTTTCTAGATCTTACACATTCGGTAGGACTCCTTGGGCGAGTGATCAGCTCATCGCAAGGCCTCTACCTGTACACAAACACAGAAAAATGCACACACACAAACTAAACATCCATGCCCTGAGTGGGATTCGAACCCACGATACCGGTTTCCAAGCGAGCGAAGACCGCTCGGCTACCGTGACCGGCTCCACTACATATATAAAATGGTTAATGTTGCTTAGGGAAACAAAATCTTCTGAGAATGCCGTGTAGTCCGTTGAAGGTCAACCAACGTTTCGGAGGAACATATCGCCTCCATCTTTAGGGCCGAATAAGCCGAGCAAAATACCAGCGTGAAAAGCAGGTGGCTTCTTTCGCCTTTTAGTGTGAGAACCATACAAAACACGCTAGTCACTCTGTGGGCAGAATGCAGAATTTTACTCTGTTGAGCAGCTGGTACATATAGAACCACTGGGCTTCAAGGCGTTAAACTAGGAATCCGTTCACAAGTGTATGAATCGCTCTTCGTATTTCTTGTTTTGAAGTGTCCGACCGCTTGCATTACGTGTGTTTTGTCTATCATTCTGCGTAGTGAAAGCTGGAGAACGCTGATAAGGCACATTTACCTCTGTAAATACTTTTGCCATTGTATTGATATTACATTATATTACATCATGTGCCCTTCATATATATGCATCAATGCATTCTTTAAAACATACATATATATACATACATGAACGCATACACACAAACGTACGTACTTGCGCGCATACGACGTACGTACTCGTAGAGCAACATACGCATGCGCAGTGCTGAACAAAACTTGTGCTTATATTATATTATATTCGTTCATTTGTGTGCATTTCATTTACGAATTTACGACACTCGTGAAATCAAACGGTAATAAGGGGGGGGGGGGGATCTGACGTATCTAATTTCATCAGATTAAAAAGATACTTAGTGTATAAAAGAGGTTACAGGACTTACATGTCATTAAAATCCATAAAGTTAATTTGGAAATTTATGTGTGATGTACTTTTAAAGAAATGCACGAGAAAATGGGTAAGTGTAAAGAATTCATGTGGAAACTTTGTGTACTTCAAGGTGGAGTGCTTGTGCAGTTTTGCAGCATATGCCTTGTGAGCATATTTAAAATTTCGATGTTTTCTAAGCAATATTTACAATGATGAGCCACTGAAGAAACAAATTATAGGTGGGTGTCATTAATGAGGACGCACCATATAAGTTTCTAGCAGCTAAAAATGATGAAATGAGTGGCGCATTGGTTACTGTTTGAGAATGTCTTACGTCAGTATGGAAAAACAGTAAACTCCCGCTAATCCGGTTACAATTAAGCCGGATCGAAGTATGAAAAATGCTGTTCACATTTGAGTACATACATAAAAGTCCTATGTCATTTAGGAACGGAGTTGAGTCACTCGTCTGTTGAGAACTAAACCTGTCAGTTTCTTCAAACCTGCATTTTTACTTTCAAAACCAAATATAACTTCTCAGTCTGCTATAGTTGGTTGAGGCACTATGCTACAAGCCGGAAGGTCACTGGTTTGAATCCCGATGAGGTGGATTTTTTTTTTCAATTGACCTAATCCTTTCAGCCGCACTATGGTCCTGGGGTCAACTCAGCCTCTAGCAGAAATGAGTACCAGGAATNCTGTGGTGGTGGGGTCACGGCAGCCCCTAGCGGAAATGAGTGCCAGGAATCTTCCTGGGGGGGGGGGGTTAAAGGGAGGCCGGCGGGTAAGGCTGACAAACTTACTGCCATCTGTGAGCCGATTGGTTACAGAAAATGTGGAAGCTTCGACTTCTCACAACCCTATACGCCTTCACGACCTGTTACAGGGATAGCTTTACCTTCTTTTGTGTTCTAAGTTTTTATCTTCTACGGCTACCTTTTGCTTCAAGAATCCGGATTATCGCTTAATGTGGATGACCTCTTCCCGCCCCAGTTACTCCGGATTAGCGGGGGTTTACTGTATTTATAGCACAAATAAAAAGTAAATTTAATTTATGAAGTGTCTTACTTCCGCATCGAACGATAATATTTTTACATCCTGTATCTAAGCAATCAGTTAACTGAATAAACCGGTGCTAAATTAGGCATGTTTAGTCTAGTAAACAGGTATAAACCCTGAATTCAATAAGAAGTGAGGCCAACTCATACGGAATTATATATCTGATATATTCAGAACGTATTTTAACAGAGAATAACTAAACAAATAGCTACTTGTATGAAGGGCTTCCATTTTTTTCAGTCCCAAGAGACAAACTGTTTGATGCAAGACTATCCTAAAGTGTCAGCGAATGCTTCATTGCAAATCCTTTCCAGTTAATCTTTCACGATTACATTGCGACTTACTCTGTCGAGAATGCCTCGCTACATAAGCCAATAGAAGCGGTACTTACGAAGTTCCAACAGGTGAAGTAGCGCCACTTGAATCTCTTCAGGACATTCTGCACGTACTCATCATCGGATTTTGCGAAGTCGATCTGCATGAGCAGATGGAAAGTGACGTAGGCGTGGTGCACGAACACCAGCAGGTGGAACACTGCAGCCAGCATAGCGACGTAGCACCAGGCTTCGAGCAACAACTCTCTTATAAACGCTACTCCTCTGTAGTGACGCAATTATTTCGGACTCTTGTCGCTTCCAGACTGGCAGCGCGACGTCTGAGGGCCACCCTCCTGTCAGTAGAAGGCGTTTCGAAATGATGTCCGCGGGGGTCTTCCGTGCGTACGTACTGGATATCAAACCGATTTATAGTGTGAATTCCATTCTGGAAACCTTTGGATCGAAAACAGTGGGGGTGGGGGCAAGTAAGTTGTCCTCTGTAACGCTTCTGAATTGTATTCGGGAAATATAGGGTTCGAATATCGGCTGAGAGACTATCTGTCCTGACTGAGGTCTTTCACGCTTTCCCTCAGTATCTCTAGGTCAGGTATGTCCAACTTCAAACAAGTTGTGATGGACTTTTTAGCGTCAAAACTGCCAGTGATCTAACACAACTTCCTATCGTCGTACCTCGCTTTAAGCAAAAATATTGGTAAAAATAACACGACACATGATGTTTGTTGTAAAAGCAACATTCTCATACATTGAAAGTACAGACTTACTTTGTTCGTTAAGAACAGAAAAATAGGAATGACTAATACGTATTTTCCCTTCAAAATCTGAATATAACCATATTATATTACAAGTGAATTTACATACTTTTCACGTATAATTTCCTTATAGGCCTATAAGATCGATCAAAAATCGTTCCGCGATCGACGCGTTGGACATGCCTACTCTAGGTGAATCACAGCTTAATTTGGTCACGACCTCTTGCTTCCATATGGTTTCTAATTAATTTTCATTGATCTATCATTCGGTCGGTCACAGTAGCCGAGCGTTCTGAGGCATGTACTGTCTTCTCTCGCTCGGAAGCTGGGAACGTGGGTTCGAATTCCACACAAGGCATAGATGATTGGTGTGTGTGTGTGCGTTTATTCTGTGTTTGTGTTGTTCTGTGTTTAGGTAGAGGCCTTGCGACTAGCTGATCCCCCGTCCAAGGAGTCCTACTCTCTGTAAAAATGATCAATGAAACTGAGAAATCAGCTCTATGCTCCAAAGTGAGAGAGAGAGAGAGAAGGACCTATCATTCGACGCTATATAATCTGAGTTACTGACAGCGTTAGTCGCTGGCTTTCCACCGCGGCGGCCCGGGTTCGATCCCGGGTGTGGTCAAGTGGGATTTGTGGCGGACAAAGTGGCGCTGGGCTAGGTTTTCTCCGAGTACTTCGGTTTCCCCTGCCAATCTGCATTCCACCAATTGCTCCACAATCACCCTCACCTATCATCTGGGGCTGGTACAATAGGCCAGAAGTGGCCGCAGTACAAGGGACTTAGTCCCACCCCACTAGAATTAAAAAAGAATTACTGACGTCACTAAATAGCATAAATGAAAATAAAATGAAACCCGTGCCGGATGCCCTCACTTCGGTTCTTGGTGCTTGTTCACAGTTGAGGGAAAACCAGTAGAAGAACATTAACATTGGACTGTTGTACTGAAAGCCTATCATAGTGACCGGACGGTATGAGGAAAGAAATGTCTTCGCCCGCTCGAACGCTGGGATCATGGGTTCGAATCCCACTAAAGGCATGGATGTCTGTATTGTGTGCATTTATTCAGTGTTCGTGTTGTTCTCTGTGTAGGTAGCGGCCTTGCGACGGTCTGATCCCTCATCCGAGGAGTCCTACTGACTGTCTAAGTTAAGAACTGAAGAGGCGTTTCAAGGATGCCCTATGCTCCAAGTGGGAACAACAGGGACAGATAAATAGATAAAAAAATTCAGGGAACAAGTCCTCCGGGAGGCACTTTAAGCCGTGGGTCCCGTGTCGTAGATTTACGGCACGTAAAAGAACCTGTCTCTAGGAGACCTCTGAGCAAATTTAGGCAAAATGTTTCCCGCCCAAGTGGTTTCTAATGCCACCGGTAGATGGGAAAGTTATCTTGTACCAATGCCAGTAGAGGGCCGACCTCGCTGGCAGAAAGGGGAGATAGCGGGCACCAGTATCGGTAGGGTATGGCGACAGTAGAAATTAAAGGGGGACGTACAATAGACTACTAGTCGCGATGCATGGGGAAACCTACCCCCTCTATACTGAATAACTGAACTGAATAGATAGATAAAGAATGCCGTCTTCTGGGATGTGGCTCCGCATAAATCTTATCTGAACTTCCATCTTCAGGGTAGAAATATCCGAGAGTGAGGAACCACCCTGAAGGTGGAGGAGATACGTTCTTCCGAAACGTCGGTTCACACAAGATCTACACGGCGCTACATCCCAGAAGACGGCATTTTTCATAGTCACTGTCGTGAAAAACCTCAAATCTTACACAGACAACTAGATAGATAGACTGTATTGAAAAAAGGGTTTGCTTCTCTGAAGTCCATAAATTTTACTGAGAACTTTTCGGAACAGAGTTTTTAGCGCACTTTCCATATTATGAAAGAATAATAGAAGGCTTATGAGATCACCATGCTGTCTGCGTGTTTCTGAATGCACCCTTATCAACTTTTGAATGCCTGAACCAATCTTTATGAAACTTGGCATGTATGTCATGACATCTGCGCCAATCTCAGCGGCTTACTTCACAAATCTCTCCCATGAGTAAATGTGGATCTCTGTGTATCTCACTATTGTTACTAGGCAACGGCTCGATAAAAACGTTACAGCAACAATGAAAACACACCCAACAACAGAAGAATCGTTTGACGTGTCGTTTTCTGCACGATCCGTGTCTTATCAAAAGAAAATTGATGATTGGTTCTTCCCGTAACTTTGCATTTAAGTGCTATTGTGTCAGTGTGCTGTCACATAAATAACAGCATGCTTTTTCCTCTCTTTTTCATTTCTACGGCCCAATTGCTGTCTATTTTGTTTCATCTTAATCACGTGACACTGAATTCCATTTGCTTATCGGGTTGTAATTCAATGTTAGATAAAGAGTATCATTTACATCACGTGGTGACAACTTCAACGTGTGGTGAAATCTTTGTGGCCATAATCTCATTACTAATACAATTATCCTTTTGTAAGCATATTCATGGGAGCTGGGGGGGGGGAGACATACATCTACGCCCTCCCCAAAAGATTATGGGAAAAAGTTAATAATGACTAAATTAGAATTATTTTGAAAAATTATTCTTCTCTATGTCGGACTGCACAAACATTCTTAAACATTTTTAAAAATAAGTTTTGTAATCAAAGTTACGGGCTTCCTTAGAAACAACTCCAGTGGGACCCGTAATTATATTTACAACTCAAAGAGAGAGAACGCATGTAGTTAATATAGCACCATTAAATAACCCTTAAATTCTGTCATACATTGACCTAGTGCTGGGTGGGACGGTCGGTCAATGAATTCCTCGTTCCTCAAGAGCAAGTATGTGAGGATATCGGATGGATCCAGTTGGCTCAGCATAAGAGCCTCTTGTAAAGACGGAAGTGAAAATTCACTTACCATAAAATGTTGTAAATTTATTGACCAATTGGTCGAAGCCGTGTACTCCATATGGCAAGATAGTTAAGAATAGTATAAATGTCTGAAACTATTATTAAGTGGATGTACTCGTATCTGTTCTTGAATAAAGTCTTACTCGCCCACACATATTCACGCAATGTTAACGTCAATTATGTAATAATATTGTCCTTGAACTGTGTTACAGCTGGCCATGCCAAGTGTATTAAGTGAGAACACTCATGTTCGCTTTTCGCATTATTTTATTTTGAAATAAAAATTCGTAATATTGAGACCGTATTAGAGAAGTATGGGCACGCGGTAGCGTAGTTGATCGAGGTACTAGGCTACAAGCCGGAAGATCATAGGTTTGAGTACCAAATAGGTGGATTTTTCAACTGATCTAATTCTACCTTCCACACTATGGCTCTGGGGTCGACTCAGCCTTTAACAAAAATGAATACCAGGTATTTTCCTGGGGGTAAAGGCCAGCCGGCGCTTAAGGCTAACAACTTTAGCGCCATCTATGAGCCGACTGTCTGGAGAAAATGTGGGAGCCTCGACGTCTCACAACCCTTTTGGCCTTTACGGCTTGTTACAGGCATACCTTTTTTATTACAGAAATACTGTATATACTAACTGACGGGGTTGTAAGCATTATTATGTCTGTAGGCGTTGTGTACATATGTTATGAACGCCTTGCTCACAATCTCATCTGTTAATTCATTAACTTAGGGCAGTTTATTACATTTAAGAGAGAACATTATTATTCCACAGTACAATGGGATTAAGCCTGTGGTTATATTCGTTCTCTTTTTTTTCCTTGTCACTACAGCCCCAGAGGGCCTAGGCCTACCTCCATGAACTTCTCCGTTCACTTCGGGTTTTCTAGATCTTACACATACGGTAGGACTCCTTGGGCGGGTGATCAGCTCGTCGCAAGGCCTCTACCTGTACACAAACACAGAAAAACGCACACACACAAACTAAACATCCATGCCCTGAGTGGGATTCGAACCCACGATCCCGGTTTCCAAGCGGACGAAGACAGTACATGCCTTAGACCGCTCAGCTACCGTGACCGGCATTCGTTCTCTTAGGAAGACATAAATTACTGAAAAACGTAAATTAACTATGAAAGGCATATCAGGATAAATACAGGCTAGATATTATCAAATATAAATAGGGAATTACTAGCCGAAGTCATAAATATTTCTTTCTGTTTTGCATAAACTTCTAGCCCAACAGAAAAATTAATCTATTTTTACTTAATTTCGTGTTTTGAAGAAGCTGTTGCTTAAGTACGGATTTTGAACAGGTTAAATCTGTCAGATATATCCTCAATGATAAAATGTAAAGAAAATACTCTCAAGGTCGCAATATTGTTTTGCATTCTGCAAGAAAAGACTCGCGTAACGGAAGTTGAGTGTTTTTACAAGCTCTATTACGACACACTTTCGGTACACTAAACTATCGCTAGTTTAGTTGTCACCACGCGAGTTCGCGCGTTCGCCACGTTGTCATTACTGACTGTAGGAAATGAATCAGCCCGGAGCTGGGATGATCTCCAATGCCACAACGTTCATACCAAGTCAGAGAAAACTGACTAGTTCGATCAGAAGTCGAATAAGCAGGATAAAGCGTGGTGATCTCATGAGCTTACATTTCTCCTTAAGGAAGGAAAATATGCTAAAATACCTTAGAAATAAGAGTCAGTGCCGGGGATAGCGCAGTCATTATAGCGACTAGCTACGGGCTGGACGACAGCGGGATCGGAGTTCGAGTCCCTTTAGGACAAGAATTTTCTCTTCTCCACGTTGTCCAGACAGATTCTGGGGCTCACCCAGCCTCATCCAAAGGGTACGGGTACAGGTGGATTTTTCCCAGGGTGTGAAGCTGACCACTCAGCTACAACTAGTACCGAGGTCAAGAAAACGTGGATCTATACATCCACTCCCCCCATACGTGTTCATGGCGTAGTGCGTATTTAGTTAATCGCAGGGACAACTTTACCTTATGAGAATACTGTCCTCCGGATGCCAACGCTGTGTAGGCCGGTAGAAGACTACGGGAAGAATAAAAGTTTAGGTACCAAACTATGCGGCGTTACGTTCCAGAAGATAGCAGCCTACTCTTCACAGTCACCGCTGTGGAACCTCAGATTAACTCGTACATATACATTGTAAAAATCGAAGAGGAACATTTTTTATTTTATTCGTCAATACTCGTATTTTGAATTATCCGTTTTGAGAACATTCTTTTCAAGATTTACTGTGTTTCACATCGTCAGAGACATGAAGAACATGGGTGTTTGAGAACATTCTTTTCCTGATATACTGTGCTTCACATTGCCAGAGTCATGAAGTACATAGGTATTTGAGAACATTCTTTTCAACAATTACTGTTGTCAGAGTCATGAGGAACATGGGTGTGAAGCCCTTCATCCGCCATAATTTCCGTTGATGAAAAACTGTTGGATTGCTGCGTAGGTTCACTGGAAATTTAGCGCTTATTTTAATATAGTTTGGAGGGAATGAGGGGATTCAGCGGGAACTGAGAAATTATTAAGGGACACAACATGTAGGACATATGGGAGTCAAACTAGAGCCTGCAAATTCGAAGCAAGTTCTACTCAAGTGCCGTATCATTTGTGCGTAATCGCAATGGGCTCTTGAGTGCTTACCAAATGCATACCCGACTAGTAACACAAATCGAGCGCATTTCGAATATCACTGGGTCGTCGCAAAAAGAAAAAAGATTTTAATACAGTTGACACCAGATGGGATCATATTCATCCCGAAAGTATTTTATAGCTTTTTGTAAATATTTGGCTTATTTCAGTAAAGCAACATAGTAACAAGAAAATTTTGTCTTCATTTCTGTAACTTTAATTGGATATAAATTTAAGTCAGTTGATATATACGTCGTAAACTGAAACACCTTGATTCAGACATTTTAGCAAAGCGACAGCACTGATTATAACATATGGGCCCAGATAGTGGTATACTAATTAGCAGGATCGCATGAAATTAAACCTAACAATTCCTATCCCCAAGGAAGTTTGAAATGTATTAAGTTTCACTTCCTTTTCTAATGCAACACACTTCTTATTTTGTATGACACGAAACTTATCAGGTCACTAAACAAAAAAAAAAAAAATTCGTGGTTTTAGTCCGCAGGCGAACTGTACCGACCAAGCGACCGCCGCTTGTCGGCGAAGTTAGTGCTAACTTTAGCAGATAGAGGATGTCGCGTGATCAGCGCAACGGATCCCCACTGCCGTTAATTTCGGTTTTCTAGACCGGACAGGTCACTAAACTGCCAGTTAAAATGTTCTTAAAATGCCATGGAACGCCAAGTCAATACAAGGTACACACGGCCATGGGAGCGACACAATCAAAGGGTCACAGAGAAGCAGCAATATGAAGATAAATAGAAAAGAGCAGTCATTCTCAAAACACAAAAATTGAGAGCAATGACTACGTACATGAACGAGTATTATTGACATAAGCGAACACAATGCAGTAGATTCCATCAAAATACACGTAGGTTCGTATTCGTATTCTGAGAGGGGGCTGGTTTCTCCATGCACTTAGATCAGTTATTGGTCCACTGTGCGTCCCTCTTTAATTTCTACTGTCGCCATACCCTACCGGTAACGGTTCGTGCCATCAGCCCCGTTGAGCCAACGAGGTCGGCCCTCGGTACCTCTGATGCTTCCCCCATCGACCAGAGGCATTGGAAACTACTTGGGCATGAAAGTGCCTGTAATTTAGCTCAGAGGTTTCCTAGAGACATGAGGTTCTTTTACGTGCCGTAAATCTACGACACGGGACACACGGCTTAAAGTCCCTCCCGGAGGACGTGTTCCCTGAAATTTTCCGCCCTTAAAAATTCCACGACCTCATTCCCACCTCGTGACCTTGAGTCATGAGGTGGGAACGTTACCTCTAGACTACGGAGGCCGCTCAAAATACACGTAGGTTACCTGAAGATGGTTCTCTGAGACGGAAACATGTAGCCTGACAGAATATATTTTAATGACATTTTAAGAACATTTAAGTGACATTTTAGTTAGTTGAATGTAAGTTTGGAGTCATATAACATAAAAAGTGTGTTGCATTATAGGCAGAAGAGGAACTGCAGGAGTGATACTTCAACGCAACAGGTGTTGAAATGTAATATTATATATGAAGTTATTTGAAAGATGTTTTCAAGCAGGAATTTATTTCTCTGACTTGTTTACATATCGTGCCGCCTGTGTGAATTCATTACTAGTTCCATATTGACGTTCAAGCCAGCAGATAGAACAAATAAAATCTACTGTAAAGACGAATGTCCTCTGGGATTTTACGCCGTGTAGTCTGGTAGATTATCAACGTTTAGGAGTATAGTCTATTGTCACCATTTTCAGCGTATTTTACTCTTCTACCACGCGTACGGAGGTGACTGGTTCCTCCAAAACGATGGTAACTATCAACAGGTCTACAGAGAACCTCAAAACACACAGGTTCATTATAATCGTAGTTACTTGTTTTTTAGGCAGCTTCTGATACATCCGTACATCCGCACGGACATGGCAACGACTAGGAGTGCTCGCCCTCTGATGTAGGTCTACTCTATTTCCGTTTCATTCTTCCTGTGTGCGGGCTGTGCTGACGGTCTACGAGTACATCTTGCATCGGCAGGCCTCCGTTAATGTGTGTGTTGTATTGAAAGTAGGATCATCTTCGTCTGGCTACGATCTCTTTTCTTCTCCGTTTACTACATAAGTTCGTTTTCCTGAAATGGTAAAGGCTCATTAAGTCTGCTTCACACACACAAAAAAGGAAGGGATATTCGTAGCTTGAGCTACGTCTGACATAGTCAGGGCTAGAAACCACTCCATCACTTCCACTTCCGCAGCGACAGACCCATCTGTCGGTAAACGTAAATGTAAAGTTGTCCCTATGCTTAACTAATTAAGCACCAAGCCATGAAGACGTATCGGGGGATGGAGGTATATCACCATAATTCTTGACTTCGGCACTAGATGGAGGTGATTGATCATATTCACGCTCTGGCGTCTTTACTTCCGGGGAAAGGGTCCCCCAACCCAGTACCCATTGGACAGAAAGCTGAGTGGACCCAAGAACTGCTTAGATGCTGTGGAGAGCAGAAAAATCTTGTCCCTGTCAGGAATCTAACCCCGGCCGTCGAGCACATAGCTCGGTTGCTATACCGACTGAGCTATCCTGACTTCGACGTAACATTTTATTTCATAGAATTGTAACGTCATGAAGTCAGTGCTGGAATTTTGCTCGGTAGAAAATTTCAATTGTTGTTTCCTTTGGAGGAGAATTTCGATTAGATTTCTGCTTCTCTCTGCAAAGACCCGGGTTGAATCCCAGTCTGGTGTTAATGGCGGGTGATATTATTCTGTTTCGAGTACTTCAGTATTACCTTGTTAGACATCATTCGAGCAATGTTCGACTAATGTTCGACCATTCGGCCGCGCC